TCCATAACCATATTTTCTTAATAATAATCCATAATTTTCATGACAAAAGTGAAGAAAATCCACATATTCATGAGAAGAAAAAGAATAATGAAAAAAGTCAAAAAAAGGGAAGAAGAAGAAGAAGAAAAAGAAGAAGAAAATAATAAAAAGAAAATCTACCATTTGAAGTATTTGAGGGTTTAACACTCAGCAATGTAAGTGTTGATTAAACCCTAACAAATAAGACAATAATAAAAAGAAATAGTAGATAAACACACAAAATGTAGTTTAATAATGTCTATTTTATAATTATAATCTCAAAAAATCAAAAATATAAAAATACTTCATAACACAATAAACTGCTTGGCGATTTGCAAGGCAAGCTTTCAAGGGCACCTTGTCGCCTAAGTGTCACCTATGCACCTGCCTAGACATCGCCTTCACAACTATGTTGGCAGCCTCGTTGCTTTCCACAACAACCTTCCCCTTCTCTTTGGTTGTCTCAAGAAGTTTGGGTCAAAGAGACCCACCACATCCTGAGGAGGAGCCCACCTACACTCAAAGAGAGAACAAAGATGATCCCAAATACAAAAGACAAGATAAAAAGATATAGGATAATTATCAAAAAAAAAGATAAAAAGATATAGGATATAGCTTCACCAATTTTTTTTTGCAAAGGAAACACATGCAAGGGGATAAACACTTATTTGGCCTTTGTTTCTGCAGATGTCAAAGGTGTTAATCTTTCCAAGGAAACTTCGGACATAAGGACTAAATTTTAGGAGAGATTGCCTTACTCCAAATTTCTTTCACCTGGAAAATCACCCCCAAAGACAAAGTTAAGTCTAGTCAAAAAAAGAATGAGCTACTCACACTCCATTTTCAAAAGACCCTTCTGAATCCAAAGTCCCAATTTAAACCTGAGGCAAAGAAGTTCACAAACTAAGAAATGGGTTAAAATTTGTAATTGGAGAATGCATAAAGCACAGAGAATTGGCCCTTTAGTGGTTGTTTACTTAATTAAAGGTCCTCCCAAAACAAAACACTCAATCCATTCCCCACCTCAAAACAAATAAGGTTAACAAAAGAGGGATATACCTCATAAATTGCTTTTCAAGGAGATAGTGGAGTTGCAATGGGGGTTTTACCATTGCATCCTAGCCATTGTCCGAACGACCATGTATGCTTTTAATAACCTTGTGGAAGAGCCTATCTCTTTCTAGGGGAAACCTCCATAGCAACTTTCCTAGGAGAACTAAATTCTTTAGGACTAAATTTCCTATTCCAAGCCCATCCTTCTCTTTAGATTTACTTACTTGTTCCCATTTCACCAAGTGGTTTTCTTTCTATCTCCCGGTTCCCACAAGAAATCCCTCATTAACTTTTCTACAAGCCCAACAATTTTAACAAGGATATGAAAAGTGGATAAGAAGTAGATGGGAAGGTTGGCTTAGATGGCTTTGGTCAAAAAATTATCCTCCCTCCCAAAGAAATATAATTTTTTCCATGCCAATTTCTTTAGCAATTTTCTCTAACACGGTCTCCTAGACACTCTCATATCTTGGGTTTCCACCCAGGGGAAGTCCTAGGTACTCCAAGGGCTAGTTTTTGACTTTACAACCTAAGGACTCCGCTATTCTAAGGACCTCCTCTTCTTGCAAAATTCTGTCCCACCAAACAACTTTTCCCCAAGTTGATCCTTAAATTAGATAATTTCTCAAAGGAACCAACAAGAGTCTTTAAATTTCCAAGGGACTCAGGGCTATTGTCCTCAGAAAACAGGATTATGTCATCTACAAACCCCCTCAAGCCCTCCAGCCTTTGATTAGATTATCAAAGGCCATGTTTGGGAGTGCTTAAAATAAGTGCTTATTTGGGCTAGGACCACACCATTAAGCACTTATTGGTGCTTGGGAAATAAGCCTAAAATAAGTGCTTATTTTAAAAATAAGGGCTTATTTTTTGAGCCCAGATTTCTAGCTTTTTTTCAATTGCTCATACAATAAGAACTTATTCAATATTTTTCTCCCAAAATTATCCCCTATAAAATTTTAAAATACCAATTATACCCTTTCAATATTGTTGCTAAAGCAACAATATCATTACTTTTAGAAAAGTAAAGTACTTTTACGGAAACGCTTATGAAAACAAAGTGCTTTTACGAAAACACTTTTATGAAAGTACTTTTACGAAAGCACTTCTATAAAAATACTTTTACAAAATAACTTTTATGAAAGTACTTTTACAAAAGCACTTCTATAAAAATACTTTTACAAAATAACTTTTATGAAAGTACTTTTACATGAAAGCACTTTTGCGAAAGTACATTTATAAAAGCATTTTTATGAAATTACTTTTATAAAAGTACTTTTACAAAAGCACTTTCATAATATCACTTTTATGAAAGCACTTCTGTCATAGCACTTTTATTCATTCACTTTGGATTAGATATTTTTGAAAATTTGAAAAAAAATGGACTTTCAAAAAATAAGTGCTTATTTTTTAAGAGTCAAAAGTGCTTATTGGAGGAAAAGGCCACCAAACACCCAACATAAAATAAGCACTTCATAAAGCTGGGTGCCAAATGCAAATAAGCGCTTATTCGAATAAGCACTTCTTTTTAAGCACTTATTTTAGGCCAAAGTAAAAAAGGAAAGGGGATAAATGGTCACCCCATTTCAAGCCTCTTTTAGCTGGGAAAATTCTCTAGCAAAACCATTGTTCAGGATTGAATATTGCACCAAGCTCAAGCACCCCTTAATCCACAATCTCCACCTTTACCCCAACCCAAATTTCTCTATAACCTCAAAAAGGAAAGACTAATCAAGTCACACCTCATTCATTTTATTAATAATATATAATATTTTGATCATTACTTAATAATTAAGAATGCATAGTTTCTAAGTCTGATTCAACTCTATTCTGAATCTGACCATATGATTTGATTTGTATCCAACCATTAATGAATTGTATTTGGATCCAGGTATATCTGATTTGAATCTGATCCATTAACAACCCCAGTTCCAGCATATCTGCATGAGACTGGAGAAACTATGTAAATAAATGTTACATTTAAACAATAAAACCTCCAACGATCTTATTCCACCAGACTTGGAAGGATTTCCCAAATCAAAAGTATAGGGCAGTTTTTATCACACCCACCAGGCTACCTACCCCCCTGCCCCCTCTTCCCTTTTTTATCTTTTTCTTTATTTATATTGGAATACAACCATCCAGCTGATAGACCATCCTCCAATACATTTGATTTCTATCAACCCCTTTCCTTGCAAACGCATCACCAAACTGTTGGCTGATCTCTAAGTCCGACTATATAATGTTATTAGCAGATATTTTTTATCAATAACTGTAAGGCTTTATTAGAAATTCAAAACGTAGTACAAGCAGCAAGGAAATGGGACAGATAATCTCTCTTAGCTCCCAGTGAATTCTCATTTCAGTTACAACTGAGCCCAAAACAGAAGTTCTCTACCCACCCCTTGTTTTGCTAATACATTAGCAAAAGAATTCGCACTTCTTTCGCTAATACAACAATCCAGCAAAAATTTTACTCCCTCATAAATATGCCTATGTTTACAAAACATCTAGCGTTGTCCATCAAGCATCACAATACCATCTTTAAATCCCCTCTGACCAATAAATTTCTAAAGTTTTGGGGTTTGTAGTAATACTAGCAGTTCTGCTAAATCTGCCCTTAATCTCCCAGTCATATGGTACAGAGAAGATTTTTTATCATAAAAAATATCCTGAAAACTCCAACTCCTGAAGGCCTTGAATTACCTAATCTGCATTCATGATATCTTGGACTCAAGAGAACCATATAAGTGTGGGACATTTTTATAATAGAACACATAAGTCTACCTGGTTTGCAGACATAAGTCTGTCTGTCTGTCTGTCTGTCTGTCTGTCTGTCTGTCTGTATGTACATGCTTACTGCCCAAACATCCATAGCCACATCAGAGTAGCTTTCTTAAAGATCTTGAAGCACCAAAGCCCAAGCTTCCAACTCTACCTGGTTTGCAAACTTGTTAGGGGTTTAAAAGTCATTGTAGGAACATTACCAACAAAAGAGAAAAACTCCATTTTTATAGCAACATTGTTGAATGCATGATACACATTCAAATGAAATGAAATCGCTTCTACTTGGCTCCATAAAGAGATCTTAACTGGTCATATAAGAAATCTTATTATTAGCACATCCATATAATAAGTTATCAAAAGAGTATACACTCCATCTCATCAAAGCATTAATAATTCCCTACTTCGCCATGAATGCCATTGCATTCTACAGACTCATCATCCTCTTAGGAAAATCACTCCCAATCCCATTTATAATCACTAAATGGAAGGATAGAACCCTATTTTTTGCTCATCCTCTTTCCAATACAATATTCAACATGAATTAACTCATAAAATATCCAAGGCTATTCATCGAGTAAGTCACTTTATTCAATGACATCAACTTCATTTAACACCTCTATAGCCAAGTCCTAAATGATATGGAATAATAAATCTGAACAGTAAACCTGATACAATAGTTGATCCTGAACTTTTCTAAAAAGTCTTTTTCCAATTTGTAACAGTCCACTTGCACATCCACACTAGTTACTTTCAACTAATAAATTGCCTACTTTTTTGCACAATATAGAGATACAACTTCATGAATTGAAGTTTCTCTTCAGCAATGCAACGCATTCTGCCATTTCCTTTCTGCATTTCACCATGAACACGTCTTAATTTCTCAAAATAGTATAATCTCTATTAGTAACTTTCACTTATCTTAAGTTTAAATTTTTTTATTGCATAAACATACCTAATTAATAGACATATTGCAATGCATATAAATGGAAAAATTACAAGTAATGAATAGATAGTTCAATTAAATTTTATAGCAAAGAAACTAAGGCTTTTCAATGTAGGAGGGATGGAAGTTTCCACTACAAAAACAGAGTTTTCCAACCTTTCCTGCATTGAAATAAACGCAGCAGAAAGAAAAAAAAAAGTTTACCAAGAAATAGGACATCTATTGAGAATGCATAACCACACTGATTCACAAATATTAGGGCATCAATTGAGCAGTTTACAACAAAAGGATAGATATGTAACATATGTTCGATTCATGAAACAGAAGCAACCAACTTATAGACATTAAAAGAGTTACCTCCTTGGATCTTTAGAAGGAATCTTTGTAAACCCTCCCCACCTTAGATTTATGGCCTCACCAGAAGAAGTAAGAAGGGTAGTAATGGGTTCTAACATTCCCAAGACTCCTACTAATATACTTTGTAGAAAGAAAATAAAAGAAGGGAAGAGATGAACCAAAAGGAACAAGAGGCATCCCTCTACTTCTTAAAACTTCCACGGACACCAGGACGTGGCTTAGCTGGGTCGACGGAATGGCTGGCGTGCAAGTTGACGACCTTGGCCTCGTCGAAGGGGATCTTAGGGTGTTTAGCATCGTGGTGTATCTGCATAGATTTGACATCAGGAGCAGTGATCTTACAGTGAGGGCATTCGAACTTGGCGTGGCCACCCTTGTCGAGGCCGGAACGGTCGGCGAGCCCTGCCTTGCCTCCTCCTCTGTTAGTGGTAGCAGCATCGACCTTGGCGGCGATCTCCTTGGCCGTGTGCTTCTTAGGCTTTGCCTTTCCAGTCATGGCTGGTTTTCTTTCCGCTTGATGATCAACGACAAATCACCCGAAAACCCTAAACCCAGACCAAAATCAAGATCCACGGATACGTTGCACATTAAAAGGGATGAACCATTGTAAACGTATAATAGATAGAGCAGACAAAACAGAGTTTAAAAAGAACAAAAATCAAAATAAACAACAGAAAAAAAAAAAGAGCCCGTAGTGCCCGTGAAAAGTGAAAACCCAAATCAACATCCAATCATCTAATACCTGTTTCACCTATCCGTCGATCACGCGACCAATAATCTGTTAAAAAGAAAACCTAAAAATCGGAAAAGAAAAACAAGAACAAATGACTGAAACTCAGAGGAGAGATAAATAGAAGTTCGGAGCAGCAATAAAATCGTCTATCTCCGACATCGGAAGTCGGACGCAGCCGGATAGGCGATCACCTCATCCTCCGCCCTGCGGCGCTAAGCTCTGATTAATTGATAGCAGCAGTGCGCCGATAAAGGGGGACACCGAGAGATTGGTTCCTTATTTATCTATTTATATTATAATATTTAATTTAAATTTATTATAAAAAAAGGATACATTCCATACATGATACATGATACATGGGAGAAACGAATCCCAATCTTATCAGACGTTGCTTTTGCTTTTGCTATTTATTATTTATATTGGGTATTATCCCTTGTGCTTTTTGACTATTAAAAGCTTAGTTTAGCCCATGTTTTTTTGCTGGCTTTCTTTTCTTATTTTGGTGACAATTATAGTTTTTGTTGTTCTAGTGTTTTACACCAAGAAGCAACATGCAATCCGACCCAACTCGGCTAGGGATGGGTATTGGGTCGGATTAAAAAGACGTTGATGGGTTGAAAATTTTTGGGCTTCGCCCTAAGTTTTGTGTTCGGGCCCAAATCTAAGGCCCTAGGTGCTAAGCCCAGCCCAGTCGAGCCAATGGTCACTGTTAGGTTTGGGCATGGGGCAACATTTATAATTGGATAATTTTTTTAAATTATTCTTATGATTTAGCTAATTGATTAAGTGTAATCTTATGTTTGAAAAATTGATTAATATACTTCTCTTATCATTAACGTTTTGTTATAAACCATTCAAATGTGTGTCATGTGACGGTTATAACTTTTAAAAATACTTGATTTACCCTTGTTATAACTTCTGGCATCGACATTTGCAAAATCCTAACCTTCAACATCTGAGGAACTGACGAAAGAGGGAGAAGAGAGGTGGTGGAGAGGGAAGTACCAAATCCGTAGATCAAACCACCACCGCTCGTTTGCCATTTGTGGAATATCACTCGTCCTGTCCCCATCCCCCNCCCCCCCCCCCAGAAAATTTTCCCTAACGAGGTGAGGATCCAGAAGAGGACAATCTAGAGTTGCTAACCAAGAATGAGCACCGTCAAGTTCATCGTCAGCAATGAGCACCACATGCTCGTTGTGTCGAAAGTAGAGGGCCGAAACCAAGAAAAAGAAGAAAAAGTAGGTGATTTTCTCAAATCCATCCTTCATTTTCTCGTAATCTCTTAACATCTTCAAGTAAAAAAAAGGTAGAAAAATAAATCTCTCAGGGCAGAGATAGAGGATAGAGGGCTTTGGCATGTCGGTGATTAACAGCCTTACTGCACCGTAGGTGCACCACAAGCAGACGCGCGACAGCATTTGTGGTGATGGTTCAGAAGCAACATGTTTTGGAGCTTGGAAAACCTGTGTCCCAAATTTTTGGAAAACTATTAACTATTTTATTTTCTTTCTTAGAAATAATCACACTATTTATGTCCAAAAATTTGGGACATTATTTGTTGTCCTATGAATTAATTTTTTTTCTCCTGGGAAGCTGATGTTTTGTGATTTAATGGGTGCCCTGAATCAGTGATCAGATGAAGCTGTTTTGATGTCTAATTTGTCCGGGAAGCTGTTGTTTTGTGATTTAATGGGTGTCTTGAATCAGTTATCAGATGAAATTGTTTTGATAATTAACTGTGAATTATTTTTAAAGAAGAGAGAGAAATGATCGAGAGATTGAGGGAAAGAGAAAACCACCAATAAAGGTGGCAAAAATGGTAGATGGCGGGAAGAAGAAGGAGAAGAATAGAGAAAAAGGAGAGAGAGAGAGAGGGGAGATCACCAGAGAGATAATCGGTGGAGGGAAATCGTTGCTGCCCTCCATGCCAATGCTAGTTCTGTCCAGAATTTAATGGCAATCGGAAGCTGATCCACTAGCATCAGAAATCAGATTCGTTGAAGGTGGTATCTATACCCTCTCTCTCCCCCCTTTTTCCTGTTTTATTTTGAAATTTTGAAGAAGAATAAAGGGTAAAATAGTCTTTTTGTTAACAAACATTAAAAGGCGTTAAAGTGAGGGAAGTATTAGTCAATTGTCAGAAACAGTAAGGGTAGCGTTAGTCAATTTTCAAACAGAGTACAATAGTCAATTAGTTAAACCATAAGGGTAGTTCAAGAAATTTACCCTTTATAATTTATACTATACGTGATGCATGTATTGATTTATGTATGCATGTTTGAGAGGGGATGATGAAGGTGATTTATAATGCCATTATGATGTGTATGCTTTGTATAAATATGATAATTGTGTATGCATGTTTGCTAATTTAGTAGGTAGTGTTTCAACCCAAACACAAAACTTGCTCTCATGATCTGATGAGCCGGGTAAAGATTGAGAAGCTTAGGTTGGGTTGGTTAGAATTAGGATTGAGGTTTTAATACATAGGGTCGGATTAGGGTTGACCTAATCTTGAGCAAACCAAGCTTGAGTTGCAGACTTGCAGCCTTGTTGAATCTTCTGCTTCATCGAGGTATAATGCATCTCCTTTTCGTCAAATAAAGATTAGAGCCATTTAGCTAGGAGAAAGCTTACAAATAAAATCAACAATTGACCCTGGATGCCACTTGCCAGGACCGGCATTGGGTAATGAGCTTTTCTATTCCTGTAACACCAGAAATGTTCCACAAGGCTGTCATCAAACACTTCCTTGTAGTTGTAGGGTTGGGCATTGGATCAAGTCTGGGTAGACTTAGCCCAATCCAAGTATGAAAGCTTCGGGTTTGGGCAGGGATGAAGCCCAAAGTTAGTCTAAAGTACTGGGCCTTAAGTGTACCTCAAGCTGGGTTCGGGCAGCCCAAAACTGTAAAACATAATTTCAAGGTGCAAATTGGCTAGTTGGCAAGGCCTCTTGCTGGTTGTAGCGAAGACTTGGGAGGGGTGTAAATTGGACCAGATTTGGTCTAATCCAATCTGGATCAGTATGACTCCATTATGGATGGACCAGGTCCAATCCAATATGATGAATACTCTTGACGATTTTGGACCAATCCAATTCAATATCTGGAGCATCCAATCTGTTCAAGTTGGTTTTAATTTAGATTGTTTCCAACCCAAATCTGGTCCATTTGACAACTGCATTCTTATCTTCTACCAATGGACTGGAAATTGGTTTAATTTGACCCAATCCATTACAGATAGACTAGGTCCAATCTAATACAATAAATACTTTGGACCATTAAGTCTAGACTGATCCAATTCAATATGTCCTATTGGTCCATCCAATCTGGGGGGTTATGAATTTGGGGGATGGGCTACTCCTTTGTGTAACCCCATGGAGACTCTGGGTTGCACTCTTAGGAAAATAATTTCAGGCTTATTAAGTCTTTGCGATGTCATCTACAAAACAATATCGAAAATTCTAGTCAATAGAATTAAACCTTTTCTTGATGACATAATATCCCCATTCCAGAGTGCCTTCATTCCAAATAGGCAGATTACTGATAAGGTTTTCATTGCTCATGAAGTTATTCATTTTATGAGAAAGAAGAAGGGAATGAAGGGTGCTATGGCCTACAAAATTAATATGGGAAAGGCTTATGATAGATTGAACTGGATGTTTATAAAAAAAGGTTTTTAGGAGGTTCAGATTTCACACAAATGGGTTGAATGGGTGATGGAGTGCATTAAGACAGTGAATTATCAAATTTTAGTCAATGGAGTGCCGACAAGAGAGTTTACTCGAGGTCATGGCATCAGACAAGGAGACCCTCTGTCTCCTTATATCTTTGTCATGTATGTAGAGACTCTTACTAAGAATCTGGTGAAGGAGGATTCCTCTATCAGAAGTTCCATTTGGTATTAAGGCCTCTAGATATGGAGATCCCAATACTGCAGTTTGCAGATGAATGTGTTATTTTAGCTAAAGCAGATATTCAAGCTTGTTTTACTATAAAATAAAACTGCCTTTACTTTGGGGTGCATGTTTTCAATAATAGATTTGGTAAGAATACTTTCATTTTCTTGGGTGAGAAAATGAATAGGAAACTAGCTGGGTGGAAAAAGAATGCTCTTTCCCTCGGTAGTAGACTAATCCTCATCCAAACTATGAGATCCTTCAAAGTTTCAAAGGGGGTCATACAAGATTTGGAAAGAAAGCAGAGAGACTTCTTGTGGTCCAATAACAAAGACAATAAATCTCTTCATTTAATCAACCGGAACCGGGTTTGTTCTACCAAGCATAGGGGTGGCCTTGATCTTAAGAATTTATTTTGGATGAATGAGGCCTATTTGGCAAAACTCATGGAAAATTTTGAATGAGAAAGAAAATCTGTGGGTTCAAGTGGTAAGCACGAAGAAATATTTGGGTAGAGTGAATCTATGGGAGGTAAATCCGAAGAAAAATCAGTCTTGGGCTTGGAGAGGCATCCTCTCTGCCAGGGATCTCCTTAAGAGAGGCTCAGGTTGGATCATTGGGAACAACTCCACTAATTTCTGGATTGACAAATGGGCTTATGAGGACGAGCCTCTGACCAAAGCAGTTGATCCTGTCAAATTAGTAATCCAGACCTTAAAGTTGGGGAAGTAATTGACCCGGAGAGGGGAGGGTTTGGAAAGAAAACATCATTAAAATTGTGTTCCCATGGCAGCATGGGAGAAGATTAAAATGTTTTTTATTCCTTAATGTAATCGTGAGGACAAACTGGTTTGGATACCCAACCCGAAAGACAGTTTTTCGATTAAATTAGCCTATAATGAGACTTGCAAGGTGAATGAGAATGGCAATAATAGGATTGTGACTGAGATTAATAAAGTGTGGTCTCTGAAAACCCCCTTGAAAATTAAAACCTTTCATGTATTTGCTTTTGAACGATAAGCTTCCTACTAAAAGAAGGCTTATTGATAGGGGCTTTGATATTGACAGATTGTGCGGTGTTTGTGGTGAAGAAGAAGAGGATACCAATCACATTTTTGTGAATTGTACCTTGACTAAGCAAGTGTGGGCCATTATGAGTGATTTCAACACATGGAATCAAGAGCATATTAACACAATTTTGAATCAATGGAAGAGTTTGGTTAGCAACTCAAATGGTCCGTTTGTTCAAGAAAAAATTGCTTTCCTGTTATGATTTTTGTGGAAGAACAACAAGGATAGTGTTTTTAGTAGTAAGAAAGCCCCACCAGCTATACTCGTTGAAAGAGCAAAACATGCTTTTCTGGGATTCATATAAAACACAGAGTTAGATTGGAATGAAGAAAAGGTCAAGCAGTATGTTCCAGTCAGATGGATATTATAGAGGGTGACTCAAAATTGGTTATCGACTGCCTAAAGAATAGTGTGGAGACCCCTAGAGATTGAATCCATCATTGAAGGTTGCAGGTTGCTGGTCGAAAGATTGAAAGGTCAAGTGGAGTATCGTCATGTAGATCGTGAAGGCAACATGGCTGCAGATTGGCTCGCCCAAACTTTGCTCATTCAAGTGTTGTTTCTTATATTGTCATTCCTAGAGGCTAGAGCTTTTAAGTCTTATCTCTTTTTGGATTCTTGGGGACGTGCTACCCCCCGCTGTGTGTATGTGTAGCCCTCTTGTTTTTTTCCTCAATTTATCCAAAAAAAAAAAAAAACATAGAGAAAAAACAACAAAAGTGTTTACTAGGCTTTAAAATGGAAGTCCACTACATCACATAATGTATTGGGCTCACGTTGACGTGCACCACGCCTAAACTCAGCTTTGGGCCTACATGAAAGCTCAGGCTCTGCCCTAATTTGGTAGAGCTAGGCTGGGCCAAAACTTGGTACAGGCAGGACCGCCAGACCACGCTCAGCCCCCACCATCTAAATCTGACACCAAACCTGATGCAATCTTCACATACATCGTCAACAGACCTTGATGTATAAAGATTTTCTTTTTCTCAATTCATAAGAAAAAGGAAAAAGAATGATATAAAGTTATAAACAACTACAACTTCTGGCGTTTGGAAGGGTTTTGATGCAACAACTTCTGGCGTTGTATGAACTATGAAACCTGGAAATTCGTGAAACCCCATTTGGTAAAAGCTAATAAGTGTGTTTTGCACATGACGATTTTTTATGATGATGATAGTGATAATATTTTTATCACTATAAAAATTATTCTTATTTTTGTTTAAGACAGTGAATATACAACATTAGAAATGTGCCCAAATGTTTTCTATAAATTTTTTTGTAATTTTTATAATTTTGTGTATTATCATTTTTAATAATAATCATGATGATGATGACAACCATGGTTGGCACATTTGACCCGAAAGGTTGAATTGTTGACCCGCCATCAAACAAAAAAACAACTTGATTTTTGAGTTTTTTTTTTGTAATTTATATTTTATTTATATCATCAATGATATCAATTATTCTTTGTCACACTTATTTTTCTTTAATGTGACTAATTAATATAGGACTCAATGAAAGAATGAGAGTTAATACTCTAATTCTGTGCCCTCTAAATTAAAGAGAGACCAAATTCAAAAATAAGGGTATTTTAGTAAAAAAATGATTCAATGAATGTTAATGGAAATTAATACCTTAAATATAAGAATTGATGGGAAGGATTTGGAGGATAAAAGTAATTGCTCAAATTATATTTCCTTGCAATTAGAGAATGACAAAATTAATAAATAGGGGTATTTTAATCAAACAAAAATTTTACACTATCATTCACACTTTAATAATAATATAGATATAAAAAAGCCAAAAATAAGCTTATATAAGCTCAAAAATCGACTTCCTGGTGAAGCCATGCTGGTAGCTACTTGGGCGCAGCTGTCACACAGCTCAATCACCGCAGGAGCCCTCTCAAAAAGGTTGCTAATTAGTTCCATGAACACTTGAACAGTAAAGTTGCTTTATCCTAGAAATGGTTGATTAGTCCCCAAGCTACGGCTTTCCTAAATTTATCCCAAGCATCTGTTTGTCTATGATTAAACCAATTGCATTAAAGAGATGAAATAAATCAGTATACAGAGAATATGCAAAAAAAGCCCAAAAGAAAGCTTATTTTTAGGCTGTGATTGATTTGAAGGAAAAGATAGGGAAAGGAGCATAGGTTTCCCTTCCTTCCACAACCTTTTCCTTCAAACCAAACACAACCATAGGGTTTGCACATAAAATTCCATCATCCCCAACAATAGTACGAAGTACGAAGCTATTAACACTTGCAAAATGTGAACCAGTAATTCCTTGAAATTCCACAAGGATGAAAGGCTCGATTGGACGGGGTTGGACACCAAACTGGCACTGGCATGTTATTTTTTTCCAGAAAACCTAGCAAAATAGCAAAAAGAAAGGTTTTAAACTTTTAAAGGAATTCTGTCAAAAGCCAGCAGAGACAGATTAAAAAGTGAAAGGTGAGAAACAGAGCAACCACCTAGTCAACACTTGAAGATGTTTCATGCATGATTTGGTGAACTGACACTGAATAAAGAGATATCACCATCCAATCATCTATGAAGAACGTTGTGTGCTTGACCAATACGCCAAATTCTCAGCTCTGAAGGCTGATGGAATGCGTCAAGCCAAGAACTTTAACCATTTAGGACCGTAACAAATCCTCAGCTCTGAAGAAACCATTTGCAGATCTTGATCATCCTCTCTATTTCCCATTCCAAATGGAAGAAATTGCAACAGCATTAAAAAATGATTGAAGTGTCCGTAATTTAACAATGAATATGGCACTGAACAAAACAGAATGGCAAAATAGGATTCATGTAGACAATTCCATATGGTTGGGAGAAGGCTAAGACGATGGTGGTGAAGTAAATGAGGGGAAAACCCTACATAAAAAATTACATGGTCATGTAGGCCCTTTGAACTCCATATGGATTGAAGACCCGAAAAGGAGCAATGGAACATCCTTTTTTATTCTCCTCCAAACTATGGTTTAAAAAATAATTTTTCATTTTTTCGTCTTTTCCTTGCACGAACTCCAACATGCTACAAAAGATGCAAGATTCCAGAGGATATACACCCTTCTGCTGAACCCTATCATACACCATGAATGAGCCAGACTAAAAGCAACTGGAAGTATAAATATTGTCCAGACAACATGATGCAATGATTGTAGAGATAGTGAAATCTAGCCATAGGGCTATTTTTGTACTTTTACTTTTCTTTGTTGTATATCTATTCTTTGTATTATTTCTCTCATATACATTAAGGGCAGATCTGTTCTTTTACATCTTAATATAAATATATCTTTTAGGGTGTCGACTGACACAAGGTGTCACCCACCATTCGGCTGTTCTCTCTCTGTTTGCCTCTCTCTTTGTCTTTCGAACCGACTCTGACATGGTATCAGAACAGGTCACGACCTGAACTTCAATCAACACCTCGGCTACTACTGATTCAAGAACTCAATAACAGTATTTGGAAGTTCTTGAGAATCTTCTTTTCCTCTCTTCTTGGATCGGCTACAGATCTGTTTTCTGGGCTTTTTTTTTTTTTTGATAAATAACAGAGACATCTGTTTTCTGGACTGTTGCGCCACTGGGTTCAACCTTTTTTTTTATATCTCCCTATAAAGACATCGGATCAGCCTGAAATTTTAGATCTGGTGTCGCCCAGAGCAGATCTATTGAACCTCTTTGGTTTGGTTTGGATCGGTTTCGTCTTTGAGGGGTTTTGATCCACTTTTCAGTTCAGCAGAACTCTACAGTTGCCTTTTTTGGACATCAACCGAAAGGTATTCTTCTTTTCTTCTTTGGTTCCAATTTCTTTTGGTTTCTAGGAGTGTGTTGTTGCCCTTTTGTCATGCGATGGCATCAGAAAGGATGGATGTTCTTCCTATTAAGTTCAACTGTACGAACTACGCACTATGGAAGTTCAATGTTGAAGCTAAGGGTCTTTGGGGGTACCTAGATGGATCTGTGTCTAAACCTGATGACTCTGACATCAAGGGACTTAATCAGTGGAAGATCGACAACGCAAAAATTGCATCATGGATTTTAGGCTCAGTCGAAACTGATATTGCTATCCCTATGAGAGGGTACAGGATAGCCTATGAGATGTTTCAATACCTTGAGAAAGTTTATCAACAGTCGAATACCTCTAGACAATATCAGATAGAGGTTGACATTTTTTCTTACTATCAGGGTGATAGAAAGGTCCAGGAGTACTATGCCGGGTTCATTAACCTTTGGATAGAATATGAGTTAGTTCACATGGGAGACGATCTTTCAGACTATTGTGTTAAATACATGAAGGAACACTTCGATAGGAGAAAAGTTATGCATTTCCTAATGCACCTAAGGTCAGAATTTGAAGTTGCCCGTTCTAATATCCTAAGCCGAGGAACACTTTCTGACTTAAATACTATTCTTGGGGAGATTTTGAGGGTAGAAACTAGATTGACTATTCAAACTACACTGGATGGAAGGATTCCAACATTGATGTTGTCTTCTTGGAAACTAAACCAAAGGAGAAGAAGGATTTCTCTAAGATACAATGTTATGAATGCAAGGAGTATGGGCATGTTGTCTCCCATTGTAAGAATAAAAACACATGCACCTATTGCAAGCAAGTCGACCACATCATCACCGAATGTCCTACCCGACCGCAGAAAGGTAGTGGTCCAAATCAAAAGAGAGGGAACTACAAGGCCTATCAGACTAATGTAGATGGTTCAGATGCCTCCTCTATCACTTCTGTAGCTGGACAAAATGACACCTCCAATGGTATGTCTGAAGAAAGGATTCGACAACTCATGTCCTCGGTCATCTTCTCAGCGTTTTCTGCTATCGATCTGTCTGGTAAGCCACCAACCTATTGCCCTTCACCGAACCACCTCTGGTATATAGACTCAAGAGCCTCTAACCACATGACAGGGGCTACTCTTGGTCAATATCCCAAACCCCATCTTCCCAATAATTACTGCAAACGGTGAGAAACTTGACATACTTGGTTGTGATGATTTGTACTTATCTACCTCTAAAGCATCACCGTTTCATTTATCCAAAACTCTATTTGTACTTAAACTCGCCACCAATTTGATTTTTTTTTGCCAACTTGTAGAGGAAGGTAATAATGTCTCATTTACTTCTGATGGTTGCTTGATATAGGACCAGCAAACTAAGGAGGTGAAGGGGTAGGGGCATAGACTGGGAAGACTCTTTGCCTTGGAGTTTGAAAAGAATAAGACTGATTATACTTCTCCTTCTTGTTTGCTTTCTACTACTTCTAGTTCTGGATCTTTTAATTGTAATAATGATTGGCATTTGTGGCATAGACGCCTTGACCATCCTTTTTCTAAGAAACTTGATCAGTTATTTGCTTCTGGTAGTTTACCTGTTTCTGCTATTTCTTTTAAGAATGTGAATAAAAATTGCATTACTTGTGGTTTATGTAAGAGTCATATTTGACCATTTCCTTCTTATTCTAAGCATGCAACCGTTCCCTTTCATTTAATACATAGTGATGTCTGGTCGTCTCCAATTGTTTCACGGATGGGATATAAGTATTTTGTAACCTTCATTGATGTCTGCACTCGTTTTACTTGGGCTTATTTTCTTCGAAAGAAATCTGAAGTGTACACTATTTTTAAACACTTTCACGGTTATGTAATTACCCAATTTGATGCTCAAATTTGTGTGCTAAGATCGAATTCATGGGTAGAGTATATTGATGGGGATTTTCAAAACTACCTGAAACAACATGGAATTCAACCTCAAAAATCTTGTCCAGGCACCCCACAACAAAACAGGGTAGCAGAAAGGAAGAATTGGCACATCTTGAATATAGTCAGAACCCTTTTATAGGATTCCCATGTACCCTCTTGGTTTTGGGTGGAGGCGGCAGCACTGCTGTGTATCTCATAAATCTTCTGTCATATATTTTGAATAACTCCTCTCCTTTTCAATCTCTTTTTCACAAACCTCCAGACCTATCCATGCTCAGGGTTTTTGGTTGTGCTTGTTTTTGTCCACCTTCCACCCCATGAACGCACAAAGTTAACTACACAAGCAGCTTTGTGTGCCTTCATGGGATACAGTTCTGAACATAAGGGGTTTGTTTGCTATGATCCCTTGGTCCGTCGCCTTTGAATTTCTCGTAATGTAGTTTTTCTTGAAAGTGTGTCCTTTTTATAACATATTGTGAAATTCCCAGTTCCTTCTATTTCCTTCTTGCACAATTTTGATTCTACAGGCATCTTAGATATTCCATTGTCACCTCCGCAGCAGCTTCAGATATACTTCAGGAAGCAACGGCCTTCTTCAGTCTCCATCCCCCCCTCTGCTCCACCTCCAATTGCTAATTTGGTCACTCCAGCTCCCTCAGTAAGTGTACATGACCTTCCTCCTGAACTCACTTTATGCCGTTCCACTAGAATCTCTCGACCACCTAACCGCTATGGTTATTCACTAGACCATAGCTCTTTTTTTGCTGTTTTATCCCACAGATATTCCCGGATCTTACCAGCAGGCCGTAGCAGAACCACACTAGAAAGATGCCATGAATTTTGAGATTCGAGCCCTTCTTGAGAATGACACCTAGTACCTAGTTCAAGCTACACCAGAAGCCTCTCTCATAGGAAGTTGATGGGTCTATTCTGTGAAACTGAAATCTGATGGGAGCCTAGATACATATAAAGCCAGACTTGTTGCATAGGGATACAAACAGGAATACGGGATAGACTATGAGGAGACATTTGCTCCTGTAGCTAAAATGACTACTCTACGTCTTCTGATGGCCATATCTGTAGCCAAACAGTGGACAATCCATCAAATGGATGTCAAGAATGCTTTTCTTCATGGGGAGTTAAAAGAGAGTCTATATGAAGCCCCCTCAAGGATATTGTACAGATCCACAACTTGTTTGTCATCTGAACAAGTCACTTTATGGCCTAAAGCAAGCCCCTAGGGCATGGTTTGAAAAGTTCAAATCCGTCATCACCGATGGTGGCTTTACCCAGAGTCCTTCCAATTATTCCTTATTCATCTTCAGGAGGAAGCAAGGAATAACAATATTATTCCTCTATGTTGATGATATACTCATTAGACGAGATGATATAGAAGGAATTTCTAGGCTACAATAGTTACTCAGTGAATCCTTCAAGATGAAGGACTTGGGGCCTTTGACATATTTCTTTTTTTTTTTATTGGAAACAATAACTTTCATTAATTCTTTAAGAAACTTAGTACAATTGTCACCTTCAAAAAACAAGATGACCCCTCTACAGATTACAAACAGGCCCAAAAAAGGTTCTGCCTACTAACTCATTTCTTTGCTAAAGTATCAACCATTGCATTGGCTGATCTCCTACTCCATTTAAACCTGAATTCAAGCTCCCTTGTTAGTTGCATAATCTCCCTTACAGGTTGTCTAAGGGACCAAGTGCCTAAGCTGTTTGTTTGCATCCAACCTATTACCAATTTCGAGTCTCCCTCCACTTCCAACTGCTGAAAACCCAACTATTTAAACAGCTTAAGCCCTTGTAGGAGTGCCAAAACTTCTGCTCTAAGAGAGTCCCCCAGTCCTATCGGGCCAGAATAAAGGGCCAGGTCATTTCCTCCCCCATCTCTAAAGACACCCCCAATTCCAAAGGGGCCTAGATTACCTATAGAACTACCATCAAAGTTTAACTTAACATCCAAAGAT